TTACCATCCATAGAATCTAGAATTTTAAATTACAAACAACTAAGAAAAACACGGAGCAAAATGAATTCGACCTACACAAAAAAAACCAACCATCCAACCAACCAATCAACCATCCAACCTAACCAACCAGCCAATCAACCGACCCAACCAACCAATCAACCAATCACACAAACAATCAACGAACCATCCAAACTGACCAGGTCAACCCTTGTACATCAGTTGCGCCTATAGCGGCCGACTGGCCGTTGCCTTTAAAGTCGGTGGCTCCGTAACTAACATCTATTACGACAACAAAACCAGCAACAATGTTGACAACAACAGCAACAATGTTGACAACAACAGCAGCAACAATGTTGAGAGACAAAAGAAACAGTTTAAAGAGCTGTTTAGTAACTTGAGGGTGGCCGTGTATCAGTGCGAATCTACGGGTGGGTGTGTTTGTGTGGGTGTTTGTTTGTATGTGTTTGTGTTTTTGTGTGTGTGTGTGTGTCATCGTCATCATCGCCACACATCATCATCATCAAAAACGTTTCCAAAAGGCGGAACGGAATGGACATTGGAAGATGTCATCCCTCTTAAATCCATAACCCTACCTGACCTCAAATACGAACTGGATCCCAGACTCCTGTACGATTTCGAGCAATTCATGCTTCGGGATAGTTCCCAGCAGGACTGCTGCCCAACCAATCATTTCTACCATCATCATAGTCATCATCACCGTCATCATCATCACCTTCCTTGTCACAATCATCATCACCCATTCTGTGGTAATACGCCGAGGTCTGGGCAGGTTGGTTTTGATTGGCTGGTTGTCGTGTGGTGGTTTTGATTGGTTGGCTGGCTGGTTGTCGGGTGGTGTTATCTTATTAGTTAGTTTTATTGCTATGTAAAAATTGTATTGCTGGGGGTGAATTTTCATTCATTTATTTACTCATTCTTCTATTCGAATATTCAATCAATCAATCTATTCATTCATTATTAATCCATCCATCCATCTATCCATTCATTCATCTTTCTGTCTGTTCATCCGCAGATCATCCCAAGCTCAGCCTCCTTGCACAATCTCCGTCGGGCCCTATCCACGAAATCCCCCAAAATCCCGGCCCGCCTGAGGCCCTTCGTCTACCTGGATTGGATATCCAGTGAGGACGGCTCTCACATTCTAACGGTGGGAGTCGGATCGCAAATCATGCTGTTCACCCCTTCGTCCTTCGAAGTGGCACGTTCCATTGAGGAGAGAACCGGAGGAGGAGGAGGGGGAGGGGGAAAGGGTGGGGATAGTGAAAAAGGAAAGAGTGGAGTGAGGTTAGGACTTTTGAAGTTGCTGCTGCGTTTTTTTTTGTCAGAATTATTGTCGTTATTATTGTTGTTCATTATTCCATCATCATCTTCGTCATCATCGTAGAAGTGTTGGTTTGCCAATAGCAAATAGAGGCAAACTTCAGAAATCTATGACGCTCGCTTTGCCTAGCAAGTCATCATACAAGATCAGGTGAGTGAATGAATGAACGAGTGGATGAATGAATGAATGGATAAATGAATGGTTGAATGAGAGAATGAATAAATGAATGACGAATGAGTCAGTTAGTAAGTGAGCTAATTCAAGTGAGTAAGTTATAGTTATTTTCACTATCGCAATTACCATTATCTTAATCATCCTCTCATCGTCTTCATCATCCTCACACCAACATTCTCTCACCAGATGGATTCAACTGCGTATGATTGAACTCCAGTCAGCTGACGGACTTGTCCCCTTCCCAGTCCATATATCCTGGGTCCGGAATGGGATTCTCGTTGTTGGAATGGACAATGAGGTACATGTGTACTCACAGTGGCCTAATTTGGACAAGCTACCAGCTGTTACTGCTGCTACAGCTACTGTAGCTGCCGCCACAACTGCTTCTGCTCCTGGTACTACAGCTGCTACTGCTGAAAAGGCGTCTGCTGGTGGCGAAGATGATGATGTTTGGAAGAAAGGAGGGAGGGACGATGACGAGAAGGTTGGCTGGTTGTTGAAACGTGATGATGATTGGGGTTTTAGACTGCTCTTATTGGAAATTAAATTGGCACATGCACACACACAGACACGCGCACGCACGCACACACAAGCACATACTCCACACACACACACGCACATGGCAGGAGGACACGAACAACAACAAAACTCTTCTACCTCGAACTCAAAGTTTGGTGTCCGCCATGACAAAATCCATGTCCAGCGCCTGGCTGGTGGACGCCATCTTCAAAGATACTAAAAAGGATCAAGATAACATGTGAGATGAAATAAATGTCATGGACGATGCATAATTTTTATTAAAATTTCTTTTTGTGTTTTGTTAAATTTTGATTAGTTTAACTTGATGATGATTTGTACAGAAATATAACTAGCATATATTGTCGACCAATCAGGCAATCAAGTCCAGAAAATGCCCGCCAGCAGCAGCTGACTGACCAATCAGCGCTCGCGACAAGCTCCAGAAATATTCCAACGACAGACGATTCGATGAACTTGAATAGGGTTGGCCTTTTCAAAGCAACCAGACTTGTCAGCCCCTGCCTACCGCAATATCATCCCAAACAGCTCATTGAACTTTTGAACTTTGGAAAGGTCAAACGAGTCAAGGTCATTTTATGGCACCTTCTGAGGAGTTTTTCTGAAACTGATCCTTGCGACAACTCGAGCAAAGACGGCCAGAGAATTTCAAGTTCTGACAGCACCTTCCTGCCCAACGTGACGGCTGGCAACGACGCAGGGGGCATCTACGGTCAGAATGAAGTCATAATGGGAGGTCAAGGGTCAATTGCACCCCTGCCGCTGTATGTTTTGCTGGCTGCTGACGACGTTGGACCCGTCACTATCGACAGCAGTAAAGCAGCTATGAGTTAGTTGGTGTTGCTTGCTTCCCATTCCATCCCTAGGTCACTTAGATCAATTTTGAATTAATATTCAAGTATTTTATTGTTTCTATTTATCTTTTTTTTTATCAATTTTGAGATCGTACTTTCTACCGCACCACTTCAACAGCTAGCAGCCAATCAAAACCTCAAAAGACTCCAACGTTGACCACGATGACAGCCAATAGCGGCACAGCAGCAACGGCAGCTGTCGACCAATACGAAGATTTGTTTACATTCAATGCCGACCCGGCCCTCGCTGACGATCCCTTCATTGACCTCGACCCTGACGCTGCAGCTGCCAAAGAGCAACAGCAGTTGAATAAAGTGGCAGCCAATAGCATTGGAGCAGCTGGTTAGTTGGGTTTAGTTGATTAGCTAACATCGTCGCCATCATCATTAACGCCATCATCATCATCGTCGTACCCCAGGCTCATTTGGCCCTTCACAAGCCCTTGCTCTTTCCCGCTACCTGACGCGTTCCAGTCTGCCAGGGCTGTCCAGTCTCGACCAGATGTACCTCCTCGCACTGGCAGAAACTGTCGCCAATACCAAATTGGACTTTGCCGAACGTTCTAGAACATTCGAGAATGTTGGCGGTAGGTTGTGGCGAATGAATGAGTGAATGAATGAATGAACGAAAGAACGAACGAATGAATGAATGAGAGTGAACGGATAATTAAATGAACGAATGAATCAATCACTCGTTCCTTCACTCAATCAGTCATGATTGAGTGAAGGAACGAGTAAAAGATGACGTATGAAGAGTTCACCATCACCACTCTCCCTACACATACATATCATCATCAACAACAACAACAACAACAACAGACAATACAAACAGTGCAGTTGACTCTCTAGCTGCATCTGCCAGCCACGACATACTGCTTCCATCATCGTCGCCAACATCAGCAACAAAACCAACAACAACGACAACTGATTCGATTGTCGATGATTGTGGGCTGAGGTTTTTGTTGGCTACCAGGCATTTTGTACATCTACTCAATACTTTGCCGGTCAGTCAACGCTCACAACTGCTTGCTTCTGGTCTGGCCAGTAGTGAGTTCATCTGGGCTTTCCATTCCGATAGTCAAGAGGTCTGATTGGTTTAGATCGGTTGGCTTTGATTGGCTGGTTGGCTTTGATTGCTTATGATTGGTTGGTTGGTTTTGATTGGCTGGTTGGCTTTGATTGCTTATGATTGGTTGGTTGGTTTTGATTGGTTTATTGGATAGTGGATTGATTAAGTGATTGGATGGTTGGTTAGTTGTTCATTTGGTTGATTAATTAATGATTTGATCGCTGATAATTGGTTGAATGATTAACTGATTGGTTGGCCGTAACACACACACACCACACACACACACACACACACACACACAAACAAACATACACAGGAACTATTAAACTCACTACCGTGCATGCAAAAGAACAAGCCAACTTGGGAGGAGTTGAAACAATTCGGCGTCGGCTGGTGGCTCAGAAATGGATGCTCTCTAGCTCGCTGTATTGAAAAGGTAACAAGTTCTTTGCCTGGTTTAGTAATCAATTGATACATGGCGTAGTGGTAAGGTGCCCATCTCTTGCGTTACAGTGATCCGATTCGAATGCGAAGAGATTCCTGCCAGCTATGCGATAGTGTATAGTAGATTTTGAAAAGTTTAATCCAGGCGATCCTCAAGCTTAGCTTAAGGCGCTAGAAAAATTAATTTAATTTAATTTAAGTTTATTTTCTGTTTTAATTTGTTTATTCAGTTATTAATTCATTGCCAGGTGGCCAAGACGGCCTTCCAAGCCAACAAAGACCCGCTCGATTCGGCACTCTTCTATCTGGCTATGAGAAAGAAGAATGTTCTATGGGGACTTTTTAGGTGAGATGATTGGTTGGCTGGCTGGCTGGTTGGTTGGCTGGTTGCTTGATTGATTGATTGATTAGTTGGTTAGTTGAATGTTTGATAATTTGACTGGACTGGTTGATTGGCCATTACTAGATGTAATGACATTTCAAATTAAAACTCACACACAGTCACACACACACACACAGACACACACACACACACAAACAAACAAACACACACACACACAGATCAGTGGACGACAGCCGGATGGCACAATTCTTCAAAAATAACTTCCAGGAAGATAGATGGCGGAGGGCGGCCCTCAAGAATGCCTTCACCCTGATCGGCAAGCAGAGGTTCCAGTGTGCCGCTGCATTTTTTATCCTCGCTGGGGCCATTCAAGACGCCGTGGAAGTTGGCTAAAAGTTTTTACCGAAAATGAATGAAGGATCGATTGAGTGGATGGATGGATGAATGGATGAATGGATGGGTGAATAAGTGGATGGATGAATGGTTGAATAAGTGGATGGATGGATGGTGGATAATTGAATGAATGGATAAGTAAAATTTTAACTTTATTTTGTTTGGAGTAGTACATTTTTGGTTGACGAAGAACCGATTTATCCACTTGAGCATTTGAAAGTTGTTTGCGGCTATAATTCATTCATTCATTCATTCATTTTTTCATTCTTTCTTTCATTCGTTCAATCAATCCTTAACGAAGGTGTGCTTGAAGAACTTGAACGACATGCAACTAGCGATTGTTGTTTTGCGCTTATACGAACAAGAATCAGCAGCAGCAGCTTCTTCGTTGTCGTCATCATCATCACTATCATACAAGAAACTTCTCTCCGAAAAAATTCTAGGATCCCTTTATAGAGGTCATCTTGTTTTTAGAACGATCGCTGATTGGTTGATGGTTTTAGCAAAATTCTTAATCCGGGGTTTTCAACTGATTGACGAGTTCTCCAGCCAACCGTACTGTTGTAAATTATGCTAAGAGGTCACGCTGTTGCAATGGCATTTTCATTTCGTTGTGGTCGTTGGCTGGCTGACGGTTTTAACTTATCATATTGTTTTAAATTTGTTCATAGTTTGACGTCATTTCTCATTTATAATTAAAAATAATCACAAATATATAACTGGATGACAAATGCATCCGACGCAGACAACAACAACGCAACGACAGCGGCGACATCAACGGCAGCAGCAACAACAGCGGCGACATCAACTTCAATGACGTTAACGACTTCATCTGACCCGTTCTTACGCAGCATGGCCAAATGGATCCTGAACGACTACACCGGATCTCTTGAGACGCTACTACAAAATGAGGACGACGACGACGACGTTCTGACAAGTACTGATTATGATCCCGACGGCCCGGGCTATGATAGTAGTAGTAGTGGTGGTGGTGGTGGTTACAAACAACAACAACAACAGCAACAACATAGACATCACAATTTCAGTAGATCCGTCAATCCGTTCATTTCGACAAGTGGAAGAGGATATAGCGGGAGTAATTTGGGATCTTTTCCCGGCGGAAGTAGTAGTAGTTTGACGGGCTTGGGTGCTGGTAGTAGTAGCGGGGGTGGTGCTGGTGGTGGTAATAGTAATGATGATTTCACGGCAAAGTCGAGTGTTTTTAATTTTTACATCTATCTGAGATCGCATCCTTTGATTCTGAAGCAGCAGCAGGTCGGGAAGATTCAGAAGATGAATTCTCTGGTGGATAAGTTTGCTCAGGTGAATTGCGTCACCCCAGTTGAGAGGAGGTAAGCATCATGATAATGATGATGATGATGATGATGATGATGGTGATGATGATGACGTCAATGATGATGATGACGATGGTGATGATGATGATGACGACGGCGATGATGATGTTGATGATGATGGTGGTTATTTTGTTTCTGTGTTGTATTATATTTATAGTTTAAACATTTACTATATTCTGGCAGCCAATTATATTTTGATCGTGAGTATTAATCAACCAATCATAACTAACTATTCAATCGCAAACCAGCCAACCAATCGCATCCAACTACTTAATCGCATCCAGCCAATTGCAATGAACTTTTCAACCAATCAGATTGTACTTCATGACAGCCCACGAGCACCTACGAAATGGCTGCCCCGCCCTCGCTCTCGAGGTCCTCATGAAGTTACCCCCAATGATATCTCCACAAATTGATGACGACAACGACGACAATGTCGCTACTACCGTCACTACTACTGACACCACTACTACCGAAACTACTACTACAATTACTGCCGATGCTATAAATAGCAATAGAGAATCGGCCAATGAGAGCGCGGGTAATTTTATGAATGAATATTCAACTGCTGAGGCATTCGATTGGAGCCAACCCGTCTATAACAGTATGAAGAGTCGTGATAATGATGACGATCAATTAGTTCTGGATTTCAGTGTCGGTGGTGATGATGACGATAGTGGTGATGATGATGATGATGATATGGGGAGGAGGAAGAAGAAGAAGAATGTTGATGATGATGACGGGAGGGTGAAAGAAGAAGATGATGATGGTGCCGAGGGGGAGAAAAAATCCAAGATGGCTTCAGATAACGTGAAGGTATTTTTCTTAGTTTATTCTTTTATTTTATCCAACAATCATCATCGTCGTCATTGTTATCGGCAGCAGCAGCAGCATGACGTAATGGCCCAGCAGTTCAAGTTCATAGCTTGCTTGCGCATGATAGCTGACGAGCTGGCCACACTGGCAGCTGGGTTCGGGGTTGATGGTGGCCAGCTTCGCTACCAGCTGTACTATTGGCTGGAGAGCGAGGTGGAAGTGCTGAGGAGAGTCTGCAGTTACCAGGAGGATCATACGTCGTCCATCAGCTGTGATGATGACGAAGACGACGGTGTGGATGACGATGACGTCATTGAGGGCGCCGATCAGTCTGCGTATGAAGTCGTCGCCGGTGAGTCATTATTATTATTATTATTATTATTATTGTTGTTGTTGTTGTTGTTGTTGTTGTTGTTGTTGTTGTTGTTGTTTATTGCTTTTTAAAACGACTGTTACCAGTTTACATAGGTGACGAAACTAGGCGAGATGTATTTTGTAACAAAAAAAAACTGAAAGCATTACAAGGTTGACCGGGATGCAATTTAAGAAATTTATCGAGTCCGGTCACTCACAGATGAAATTAAATTAAAAAAAATAAATTAAAATAAATAAATTAAATTAAATAATGTCTACAAAACAGCGATGATAACATAACAATGATAATAACATGTCCACTGTCATGTTAAACCTCTCTCAGAATGTAACTCGTCTGTCAACAGCCAGTCAGACTCTCCATTCCCTTCGTATAAAGACCCAACGAACTCCTCATTGGCCAGTTTATCCAAAGCCCAGTTACCTCAGCAGAAGTTTTCATCCAATCAGCTCACGACGACGCCCTCGCAGTTCTTTTTAGAAACGAAACGCCAGCGAATCAGGAAGAAGCGGAAGTGGCTGAGAGCCAATCACAACCTTCTAGTAACCTTACTCAGTTACACGATACTGCATGACAGCAATGGTGGCGGCTACGCTTCTGTCAGGACTGAGATACTACTGCTTCTGCAGGTAGCAAGATGCATTTGTTTTAATTATACATTTCTAGTAGTAGTAGTTGTAGGTTGTAGTTGTAGTAGTAGTAGTTGTAGTAGTAGTAGTAGTAGTTGTTGTTGTAGTAGTAGTAGTAGTAGTAGTAGTTGTAGTGGTAGTAGTAGTAGAAGTAGTAGTAGTAATTTTTTACACTGCTGTTCCTCTTATTAGTGTCGGCAGTTGTTGGCAGTGATAATTTAGTAAACTGTTAAATTGTTAAATTTATGCATATCACTAAATCTATCGACCAACCAATCAATCAATCAGCAATCAATCAATCACTCAGCTAACCAATCAATCTATCTATCTATCTATCTATCAACCAATCAATCTATCAATCAATCTATCAATCTATCGACCAGCCAACCAGCCAATCAATCAACAATCGCCACACACGCAACCAGGAACTTCACGAGCACAAGCCAAAAAACAGCAGCAGTAGTAGCAGCAGTAGCAACAGTCGTCTTCTATCTAAACCTCTTCCTATCCCAAGAGACATCCCCATGCTGACGTCAGCCCTAATTGGACCGCACTCCGTGGTGACGGATCTACTCCAGTACCTCGGGAATATGTGTCACGACTTGCTCTCAACGTTCGCCTGCATGGGCAGTCCTCCTGATAGCAGCTACCCCAGAGATAAGGTTTCGCTTGTTTTTTTTTTTGTATTCGTGAATCATCGATGTTGACGTCATTATTTCGAAACGATTCGAAACGTTATTTTAATTTTGCTTTGAAATTTTCGGGCAATGTGACAATTGTTTCTAATTGTTTAAAACTAATGCTTATTATTTCTCTCTCTCTCTTTTTCTCTCTTTCTCTCTCTCTCTTTCTCTCTTTCTTTCTCTTTCTCTCGCACACACACGCATACACACAAACATACATTAGTTATTAATTATCAGATTAATTATGTAGTCAATTAGCCATGATGATTTCGGCCTTAAACACAGTAGGTAGGTCCTCGCAATTCACCACCAACCTACCAACCAATCAACCCACCAATCCAGATATACCACATATTTGCCGTTGGGGCTGGCCTATCATCGTGCGTTTACCAGAGTTTAAGTGGGGACCACAGCTCATTGGATAATTCAAATACCACACCAGGATTGGACGGTGGCCTCTTTGCGTTCGGCCAATCACAGAGGGAAAGTTACCTGCTTGGTCGAGCCGGTAGGCGGAGCTTAACTGATGATTATTCAGAAGCGCCTAAAAGTGAACCTTCGAAATGGCCTGGCGTCAGCTATCTGACGTCACTGTTGAAAAAAATTCACGAAGACGATGCTCCACAGCTAATAACCCTCCTCCTCCAATCACTGCTCTCCGTCTATCTCAGCCTGCTCTGCTATTCGCTGGCTACTTACGATGCCCCAGTTATCTCGCGCCTCATTGGTCAGCCGTTGAATAAGGAATGTTGGGGTACGGTATTTGGGGGAGGAGTTAAACAGTTAGTGAAGATGGCGCCTGTATCTAGCACGAGTAGGACCAACAATTCTAGTGTGATCGTCAATGGAGGTAGCTAGGTCATACTTCCTTACTTTTTTAATGTTATAACATTATTTTTAGTTAATTATTCTTTATTTATTTACATTCTTTTGTTGCAGTTATTTGAGACACTCATTCATTCATTCATTCATTCATTCATTCATTCATTCATTCATTCATTCATTCATTCATTCATTCATTCATTCATTCATTCATACATCCTCATCTTCGTCGTCGTCATCAAAATATAATTAAATTTTTTAAGATTCGAAGCACAGAATGAAGTTAGCTACTTCAGTCATGGGCTACCAAGCTATTCAGCAGCAGCAGCAGCAGCAGATGTTACAACAACAGCAGCAACAACTACAGCAGCAACAACTACAGCAGCAACAGCAGCAACGGTTTCATGGCGACAGCTATAGAGAGAAATTTATCCCGCCGAAAATGAGCATAATTAATTATTTCCTTTCAAGGGTTAGTAATTAATAATTACCATTAAAAGTACTACTGCTACTACCACTACTATTACTACTACTTTTTCTAGTACTACTACTGCTGCTGCTACTACTGCCACTACTACCACTACTTATTAATGTAATGTTCCTAAAAATCCGTTTTCATAGTCGGACCAACAGCAGCAGCAAACTTCAAAGAAGAATGATGATGACGACGACGACGATGCCGAAGATGATGACGATGATGATGATAATGATGGTGACGTCGGTGCTGATGATGATTATGCTCCGGGTGGCGCTTGTGGTTATGGCTCTGCCCGAAAGAAAAATAAAAAAGCGTTAGTTCAATTTCATGAGTTCCATTTCTCCGCTGTTATTATTTATTTATTTTTCTACTACTACTACTACTACTACTACTACTACTACTACTACTACTACTACTACTATTACTACTACTACTACTAGGTAAACCATTATTAATTAGGTCAGCCAATATTAACCAGGTCAACCATTATTATATAGGTCAACCATTTTTAATTAGGTCAAGGTCGGACACGACTCACCTCGATCCTGATTCGTTGCCGTGGAAGTTGATACGATACGCCGTGGTGAGGTACGTGAATGTCAGCTTGGGAGCTTTCCTACCAGCCATCGGGTTGGAACCCGGAGAGCTGGATCACAGTTCCTCCCTGTTGGATTCCGTGGTCAAGAATCTGCTGAGGTGGGAGGCGGGACTTAGGAGAGAGGTCGACGGCTCTTCCGGTTAGTTGGCTGGATGGCTGGTTGGTTGGTTGGGTGGTTGGTTGGGTGGTTGGTTGATTCGTTGGTTAGTTGGTTAGTTGATTGGTTGGTTGATTGATTGATTGATTGATTAATTAATTGATTAATTGATTTATTGATTGATAGGTAGGTAGACGAATTCAGTTGAATGAATGAATTATTAATAGTCGAGTAGTTTAGTTATTTCGTTCTATAGTTCTATTCCTGTCGTCTAGCTCTACAGCTGACATCAATAACAAAAAACAACATCAACAACAACAACAACAATAATAATAATAATGAGAACTCTTTTATTTCTTCAAAAGCCAAAATATAGATGAAAATTACAATTAAATATAAAATGATCAAATATTATAATAGTTAAAAGATTAAAATGATGGATAATTTAACATCAATGCTCGTCACTATGAATGTGTACAAAGATGATAAAATGATATAAAAACTAAATAATAATAATAATAATAATAATAATAATAATAATAATAATAATAATAATAATAATAATGATGATGATGATGATACCTTAGACTCTATCGAGATACCAAACTTGTACGTGGAACCAACCTCCCTATTTGGTAATGTCACTATTCAGAAGTACAGCTCACTGATGGACAGCAAGAATACGCCATTCCTGTTGGTGTTTTTCATTCACACGCGCGCACACACATACACACACATGCACGTACACACACACGCATGCATACTTACATACAAACATACATACATACATACATACATACATACATACATACATACATACATACATACATACATACATAAATACATACAAATAAACATAAATACATGCATACATACACACATCAGATCTAAACACAAAACTGCAAAGCCTGCGAAAAAGCTATGGACGGAGTTGGTTTCGAAACCTCAACTGCAAGATATTTTCATAAAATACGTCTTCAAAAGTAAAAAACTTCCCGCTACTGCAGAAATTACTACTTCCGGTTTTGATAATGATTACAATGTTTGTTTTTGTTTACTGGTTGGTTGGTTTGTTGATGATTGGTTGGTTGGCTAGCGATTGATTGGTTTATGAGTTGGTTAGTTATTTGTTTATTATATTATAGGATAAAAAACAACTCACAATTTCATTTGCTGCTATATTTAGATCACATCTCGGGTCATCACCAACCAGGAACCAATGAAAATCATCCACAAAGATCAAGACGTCATTACGTCATTTGCCATCAACCAAGTAGTAGTAGTTGTAGTAGTAGTAGAAGTAGTAATAGTATCAATAAATTTAGTAGTAGTATTATAGTAGTAGTAATAGTAGTAGTAGTAGTAGTAGTAGTGGTGGTGGTGGTGGTGGTGGTGGTGGTGGTGGTGGTAGTAGTAGTAGTGGTGGTGGTGGTAGTAGTAGTAGTAGTAGTAGCAATGATAATTTGATTATGATTACAATTAACCAATCTTCATGCCATGTTAACTTCAAAGTTTACGTTGAATTTGCATTTTACCGCAATTTTGTATTATTTATTTATTCATTCATTCTTTCGTTTGTTCATTCATTCATCAATACATCATCCATTCATTCATTCATTCATTTATTCATTCATTCATTCATCCATCCCTACACACACACACATGCATTTATTTATTTTCCTTTTATTCTCATGATTTATATTTCATTTCGATTAATTCAATATTTTATTTTAATATTCAATGTTTTATTTTAATTTATTAATTAGTTAGTTAATTAATTAATTATTTTATTATTAGTTATTATCACCATCTTCTAATTTTAGACCGGCATGCTAGCAGCTATCAACACAGCAAACCACAAATTATGCATGGTAAGATCGTAAGAGCAGATGAATGAATGAATGGACGAATGAATGAACAAATGAGCGAATGAATGGACAAATGCATGAATGAATGAGGGAACAGATGAATGTATTTATAAATGAATGAGTTCAATGCTAACAAAGAAATTTGTTCGTAATTTTACAAAAGTGGCACGAGTGTTTATTTTCTTTAATTTTTTTAAATTTTTTTAATTTTTGTTTGTTTATTTGTTTTTTTTTCATGTTGTCATTTAGTTATTATACAAAGAATGTATGTGTAACATACATACACACATGCATACATACAAACACACATACAACATACATACACACACATACATACAAACACAGTACACACACACACACACACACACACACACACACACACACAGATGAACTTGAACTGTCTCGTGATGGCGACCCAGAAAGAACTAATCGAGGTCGACCTGACCCAGATTTTGAAGCCACCTGATTGGCTACAGCACGACGTAGACTATGACGTCGAGGTTATAACCAAGTGAGGGAAGAACTTTTTTATTTTATTATTCTTTCGTTTGTTCATTCATTCGTTCATTCATCAATACATCATTCATTCATTTATTCATTCATTCATTCATTCGTTCATTCATTCATTCATTATTATTCAAAACTCCACCCAGTCCGATGCCACAGGGTGAGAAACCGGAAGACTTCCTGCTACTGAGGAGTCAGTTCGATTCGCGTATCATGAACGGGGCCCTGGGTCCTGCCCCACCGGAATCCGGAGCGAAGGGTAGTGGGGCTGGGCCCGCCACTGTGGTTAGATTTTTTTTTGCGAGAATTTTTTTTTCTCTAAAAAGTTCATTTGTTGTGATTATTGTTATAATATTAGGTTTGAAATTTGGAATAAATTTTACGAATTGTTTCTAAAGTTGTTTGCGTAATGTGAATGTCGTCAGTTGGTTACACAAACAACAAAATAGCATACGTTTTAACTTTAGTATTATATTTCTTTCTTTTTTTTCCAAATTTACTCTTCGCTGATTGGCTGGCTAAAAATAGATCAAAGGAATTTCCATTCCTGGAATTTCCAATCCCGGGATATTTTGTTATATCGTGGATCGTAGTAGGCGGTTGATGAAGAGGGTGAGGATGATGGTGGTGATGATTATGATGATGGTGATGATGGTCATCCTGGTGATGATGATGATGGTGGTGATGGTCATCCTGGTGATGATGATGATGGTGATGATGGTCATCTCTATGATGATGAAGATGATGATGGTCATCTTGAAGATGGCCATGTTGTTCATTACGTTGGCGCTCATGATGTTGATGGTGTTTGTTTCAAGGTGGATTTCTTCGTGATGATGATGATGATGATCGCGAATGAGTTTTTGCAAAATGTTTTAGACGATTTAGACGATTCATTTTGAAGCTAGATAGATTTTGAGTTAATTTTCAACAATTTTTTTTTAGAATTTTTTTCCAGGTTTTAAATTTTTATTTGCCTTTGTTTGTGCTGTTTTTGAATTATTATTATTGTTATTGTTATTATTATTATTTTGTTATTATTTTATTTTTATTCATTTAAATTTTTTAAAACTCGAAACGCATGTTATGTCCTCGCGTGTCGTCTCACTCAATCTCTTGTGTCACCTCTTTGATTTTTGTTATTATTATTAGTTATATTATATTTATTATTAGTTATATTATTATTATTATTATTGTGGTATTATTATTATTATTATTAGTGGTTTTACTATTATTATCATTACTATTATTATCGGTTTTATTATTATTATTATTAGTGGTTTTATTATTATTATTATTGTTGTTGTTGGTTTTTTATTATTATTATTGGTTTTATTATTGTTATTATTATTATTATTATTATTATTATTATTATTATTATTATTGGGTTTTATTATTTTAGATNTTAAAAAGATCTGAGAACGGGGTTAGGAGGTTGGCCTCGCATCCATTGCTCCCATTCTGTTAGTCTGAACCGCTTAAGATATTAATTTATATTATAAATTATAAATATAATATTATTACAAATAATAATTATTATTATTTATATATTTTAAATATAAAATTATTGCAAATAATAATAATTATTAATATATTCTTATTTATAAGTTATAAGTATAAAATTATTACAAATAATAATAATTAATATTATTTATATAAATATTGCATTATTATCCTTATTGTTACATAAATATATATTTACATCAATGTGATAACTCTCTTCGTTGTTCATTTCACCATTCTTTTGATCCCTATCCGTCAGATGTTTCCGGAGCGGACGACGGATGCGTGAAACTGTGGGAATGGGGACAGAGCGGATGCGTCAGTGAAGTTAGGAAATCCGGAGCCTTCCCGAAGGTCACAAAGGTCAACTTTAATGCCCAGGGGAATAAGGTCTCTATCTACGTTGTCGTTTTGAATTTTTTGCTGTTTCTTATGGTTAATGTTATTGCTCTTTAAGTTCACTTTTAGTTTTAATTAATTGGTGGCTGAACAGATAAATGCATCAATGAATGAATGAATTAATGAATGAATTAAATGAATGAACGAATGAATGAATGAAAAGACGAACCGAAGAGTAAATAAAAAACTAAAACTGAATGGACAAACGAACGAACGAACGAACGAATGAACGAATGAATGAAAGAGAGAATGAATAAAATTTAAAAAGATCGGGATAACGGACGTGGAGGGCTCCATGTGCTTGTGGCAAGTTGGATCTGGAGTAGTCATGAACAAGCCCTACCTGGTGCGTCTTCATTATCATCATCATCTCCATCATCATCCCATCATCATCACCACCATAATCATCGTCATCATAACTCGCAGACGATCAAATGCCACAACAAGACGACTAGCGACTTCGCGTTTGTCGGTTCGTCGAGTATTTTCGGCTCGGCCGGTTATTCGACCGACAATCGGAACATCGCCCTCTGGGATACGCTGCTGCCGCAGAGGAAGATGATGATTCAATGTTTGTCGTTCGTTTGTCTGTTTGTCTGTTCGTTTGTTTGTTTGTTTGTCTGTTCGTTTGTTTGTTTGTTTGATCGTTTGTTTGTGGTGCTGCTTCAATCAATCAATCAACCAACCAACCTTCATACCATCAATCAACCGATCCACCAATCAACCAACCAATCAACCTACGAACCAACCAACCCCTCCTAAATACTTTCCAGCCTTCTTGTGTCACTCTGACGGCTGCCCTACACTCGTCTACGCCCCCATCCATCAAATCATAATCAGTGGCGGCAAGAAGGGTGAGATTTGCATATTTGACGTCAGGCAGAAGCAACTACGTCATACATTCCAAGCCCACACGTCTGCCGTCAAAAGTTTGGCGGTAGATGAGTCGGAAGAATATTTCGTTTCCGGCGCTGCTGACGGGGACATCAAGGTTATTTTTTTATCTATTTTTTTTGTTTAGGAGATAAAAAAAAACAGTAAATAACAAAATTACGTCATGTGACACACGCACACACACACCACACACGCATCACACACGCACACTCACACAACACACGCACACAACACACGCACACAACACACACACAACACACACACACAGGCCTGGAATCTCTCCTACCACAGCCTCCTGCATTCCTTCACGGGAGAACATTCCAAATCATCGTCCGCCATTTTCAGAAACGTCACTTCCGGCGTCCTCCAGGTGACCTTGAACTCCCAAGGTCACCTTTTCTCGTGCGGCAACGACGGGACGATGAAAATTAGGCAACTGCTACTGGGGAGAGATAGATTGTTTGGGAGAGGAGATTTCAGCTTTGGGTACAATTGAGAGAGAGAGAGAAAGAGAGAGAGGGAGAGGAGAGAAGAAAGAGAGAGAGGGAGAGGAGAGAAGAAAGAGAGAGGAGAGTAAGAGAAAGAGGAGAGAGAGAGAGAGAGAGAGAGAGAGAGAGAGAGAGAGGTTCTTTGTGGTTGTTAACATTGTTTTTTATATGATGCAACGCTTGCTTGTTTTCAATAAAATCAAAATAGTTCATTCATTCAATTATTTATTTGATTTATTTATTTTCTATGGCGACAAGTAGAAAAAATGAGAGAGAGAAAGAAAGAGAGAGATTTCGTTTTTCATAATTATATAATATATATATATAATATATATATAATATTATATATAATATTATAATATAATATTATATATAATATATAATATATATATATATATATATAGAGAGAGAGAGAGAGAGAGAGAGTGTTTAGATGTGTGTTTGTAGTTATTATCATTGTAATGAATGCTATTTCATCCTGATGATGATGATGATGATGACGACGATGATAATAATAATAATAATAATTATTATTATTATTATTGCTGTGGTCTCTAATAGTTGATTCCATTGAATTTTCTTGTGTGCATTAGTTCGAAACCACGATTGCTCATAAAAAAAATTATTATTATTATTGTTATTTTTGTTGTTGTTCTTCTTCTTATTCTTTTTCTTCTTATTATTAATAATCTTTTTATTACTTATTGAGTTAATAAATTTTAATTTACTTTGATTAATTAAATCAATTGTCTAGCATTATTATTGTTATTATTATTATTGTTATTTTTATTATTATTATAGTTATTATACGTTAGGATAAAATGCTATAAATATTTGTAGCTGTTGTTTGTAAAAGAAATTTGATTGAGTTATACATAGATGTGTTTATAGACATTCATTGCTACAAGTTATTTTTCTTGTGAAGTTTTACTCATTTTTAAATTTTCCGCTCGCTCGTTCGTTCATTCATTCATTCATTTCTTCATTCCTTCATTCCTTCAAATATTTATTTAATTAATTCATTCATTCATTCATTCATTCATTCAATCGTATTTCATTATTCATTAATTGATTTATTCATTGATCTATTGTTCCATTTGTTTAATTATGTAATGTTTTATTCACTCTGTCGTTCTTTCGTTCATTCATTCAGTCATTTATTCATTTATCCATTCATGTGTTCATTCATCATTCATTCATTCATTTTGTACATTCATATATTTCTGTGATTATACATGTATAAATAAAGCGAGTTCAATAACGATAAAAACCAATAATAATAATAATTATTATTATTATAACAGTATATTAATATTACATTGTTATTACAAATTCTACAATACTATTACTAATTACTATTACCACTTTGTCAAACATATATATATATATATATATATATATATATATATATATATATATATATATATATATATATATATATATAATCATGAAATGTATATAACTTTCCTTATCTATTCACTTAGTTAAATACATATTGTTAGTTGGATTATATGTATGTATATATATATATATATATATATATATTTATATTTATATATATAGTTATGATATTGATTATTGTGTTCAAGATTAATTACTAATTAATTAACTTTTTTCAGAATTTTAAGTAAAAGTCGAAACCGTGTTTAAATTTTTACCTAAAATTATGATTAAAATAGTTATGATAATCATAATAGAAGTACCACTACTACTGCAACTACTACTAATACTACTACTACTACAACAACTACTACTACAACAACTACTACTACTGCAACTATTGATAATAGTAATGGTAATTATTCTCTCTCTTTCGGTTACTATGCTAAGAATTTACTAACTAGTGTCAGTTTAGCAAAGGATGATGATTGTTTATGTATCAGGGGAGTGGAAAAAATGATTTTTTTAAAATTCAATCCGGCTCTTTCTCTCCTTTTGTATCTCTTTCTCTCATTATCTATCTCTTTATTTTTCTTTCTCTTTCTTTCTCTCTTTCTTTATGTCTCTCCACCTATTTTTTTCAATTAAATATGTATATTTTTTATTGGGATTGATTAATTTCGGTTAGTTTATCATTTTGAAATTGAGACGTGTTTCGATCTGAGGAATTATAATTAAATTTTTCTTGGTATGTGCGTGTGTGTGTGTATCTGTGCATGTATGTGTGTGTGTGTGCGTGTGTTAGCTCGAGTCTGGTCGCAGATAGTCTGAAGAAGCATCCATGATATGGTGCCTATGTGGTGTGGTATCATCAAGTTAGATACACGGTGATACCATCGTGTTAGATACACTGGAATACCATCGAATTAGATACACTGGAATACCATCGAGTTGGATACACGCTGATATCATCAAGTTAGATACATGGTACAAGTTAGATACATGGTACCAAGTTAGATACATGGTATCAAGTTAGATACATGGTACAAGTTAGATACATGGTATCAAGTTAGATACATGGTATCAAGTTAGATACATGGTATCAACAGTATTGTAGGTACATTCAATCATTTGCATCCGTAAGAACGGTTTATCCAGCCATAGAATATATGTAATATACTATCTTCACAATAACGCTAATCAAACTCAGTTTTGTCATTTTTTATACTGCTTTTTTCATTCCTTCACGTAGATTCATTTTCTTTCGTTCATTCATTCATTCATTTTTTCGTTCATTCTCCGTATTTTCATTCTTTCGTTCATTCATTCATTCATTCATTTTTTCATTCATTCTCCGTATTTTCATTCTTTCGTTCATTCCTTACTTTTCAATTGCTCTTCATTCCTTCATTTTTATCACTCTTTCATTCATTCAGCTACTATTTTTTATGTTCAGTCATTAATTACTCGCATCCGGTACTACCCATTCATAATTTCGCTTTATAGTCATTCATTCATTCATTCATTCATTCTTTCTTTCGTTCACTTTTTCATTCATTCATTTTCTCATTCTTTTGTTCGTACATTAAATAAGGATTTCTTATATTAACGTACTTTTATTCAATCTTTCATTTATTTGTTATTTTAGTTATCCATAAATCCATCCATCCATTCATTCATCCATCCATCCATCCATCCATCTATCTTTCCTTTCTTCCTTAACTCTTCCTCCACTTGGTATTAAGGTATGTTGTAGTTAAATAACCGACACTTCATGTTCAAACATTATTAACTCCAACCAGGCAAACATACAAACATACACACACACATATGCGTACACACACACACGTCCATACACACATGCATACAAACATACACACACACACATACACATACACACACAGAGATATGGTAACGCTAAATTATATGGAATCACAAATAAGTTTTTACTCTCGGGCGTGCGGACGTTTTGTTGTTGTTTTATTGCGCGCGTTTTGTCTATGCGAATTGCATTTTGTATGTATGTATGTATGTATGTGTGTATGTGTGTGTGTATGTATGTATGTGTGCATGTATGTATATTTGTGTGCGTGTGTCTATATGCATAAATGAACATACGTCGAACTGCATATATATTATCCTTTATTAAACATTTAGTAAGCGTTTGTCCAATAAATCAACATACATACAAACGAACATACATAATACATACATACATACATATAAACAAACATACATACATATATGTATGTATGTGTTTAAATGAAGATGATGAAGTTTTGGTGTGCTGCAACCGCGCTGTCTTTCCAATGCGCAATAAGTTTGCATGTATGTTTGTTTGTATATACGTATGTGTGTTTGTTCGTCTGTATGTATGTGTATATATCCATTTTTGCATGTGTGTATTTATGTATGTGTATGTATGTATATATGTATGTACGTACGTACCTATGTATGTATGTATGTTCGCATGTATATATGCATGTATTTGTATGTGTGTGTATGTACGTTTGCTTGTATGTTGTATGTATGTTTGTTTGCATATAGTAGTATCTGTCTAACAGATTCTTCCTGTTCCTAAAATTATTATTATGATTTATTTTCATTATTATTATTATTATTATTATTATTATTATTATTATTATTATTATTATTATATTCATTCAAATCTACAACCAGTCAACTCTCATTTTGCGGCGCTATCTTTCTTACTATTCATCTCTCTTTCTCTCTCTCTTTCTCTTCTTTTTTCTTCCAATTTTCTTTCTATCATCGTTATAGACAACCAGTTAATCTATCAATGCGTACATATATTCTCTGGTATACATACAAACAAGCATACACACACACACACGCATACATATGTATGTATGTTAAAATTTATTTAAATGTGTATATGCATGAATGTATTTAAATGGAGATTATATATATATATATTTTTATATATATATATATATATATATATATATATATATATATATATAATGGATTGTATGGGATTATTTCAATGAGTTTAGTTCAATTTTTATCCTACCTCAATTTTAAATTCCGTCTCGTTTCGTCTCGTTTCGTTTAAATTTTTCCAGGGTCATGTAAGGTCAAGTGTAGTGAACGACGGTTGCGTGTGGTTATATGGTTAATTTGAGTCTATTTCTTTCTCTTTATCTCTATCTCTCTCATTTCTCTCTCTTTATCTCTATCTCTTTCTTTCTATCATTTTATTTCCTTTAGTGTTTTCGTCTTTCTCTCTCTTTTCTCACTCTCTCTCTTCCTCTTCTCATTTTTTTTCTTCTGAAATTTATCGTTCGGTTATCCTTGATTGTTCGATTGATGTTGGGATCTTTAATTTTACTCTCGCGCATCTCGTTATCTCTCTCTCTCTCTCTCTCTCTCTCTCTTTCTATCTCTCTGTCTTTTTTCGTTCTTTCTATCTGTGTTTTTGAAATTTATAAAGTTTTTTCATTTTTTTCTTGTATGTTTGCGTAAATTTATAATTCTATGTATGTATGTATGTACGTATGTAATTTACGATTGTATGTATGTATGTGTGTATGTATGTCTTTATGTATGTATGTTTGTTTGTATGTTTGTGTGTCTGTAGGTGTAAAGATAAACTTGTCTTATATAATAATTTATTATTATTAACCCGGGTTGATTCAATTAATATATAGTAGTTAATGTGTTTCTAGCGGCATTTTGAAACACTTATTATTACTGTTGTTATTATTATTGTTATTATTATTATTGTTATTATTATTATTATTGTTATTATTACTTTACTTGTATGAAAGAAGCTTCTTTTCCGGGTTTGTCTCTCAGTCAATCCTGTTATGATTCATCCTTTCATTCATCC